ATTTGTGTATTTGACAATTTTAGTTCTATTGTATTATAAAAGTGTAATTACTATATAATAATTTTGTATGATATATATTAAATTATAAAATAGTAAAATAAATACTCATTTTGATATTAAAAATAATAGTTAAATTGGAAGAAGAATTAGTAACATAAAATTAAAAGTAATTCTAATTATTTAATTTTTTTTTATATTTATTTGGAAAATAAAAATATGTAAAAATAGAAATTATATAAAATTTATTTAAAAAATTAAATATAAATATGTTGTAATTGGATTATCATATAATAATTATATATATATATATATATATTAGATTATAAGATTGTAAAATAAATATTCTTAATTAAATTAAAATGTCAACTATATAAAAGAAATTCAATAGCGACTAACTAATAAAGAATTACATAACAACATCTAAACCCAAAAATAAAATAATAATAAAAATATTCAAACAATAGATACATATTAGTTGTATCTGTAATATGATATCAAAACATAAAAGAACTTATTATTCAACAATTGAAAAGTAACTCAAGTAGTAAATCCAAACTTTAGAGATTCCTCAAGAGTATCATTGTTGTGTTTTTCCTCTTATGAATTGTAATTATATAAAATAATGTAGGAATGAAAGTATAATCATATATAGAATTACTATAAAATTTAAACGATAAATCCATAATATAGAGTAATATAGAATTAGTATTGGGTATAGAATAATGCACGAGAAAATAATTTTTAAAAAAAGCAATTTAACGTAAAAAAAAAAGCATAATATTCTTGAAAGAATTAAGAAGAAAAACATAAAATGCAAAATTGGTATTGGGTTTATGGATTATCTCAATTTACCAGGAAAAATATATAAAAAAAAATATTTATCAAGTAGAATGCATATAAAATAAGTAAAGTTAGTATAATTTAAATTAATTTGTATAAAACTCTATATGTAATTAAGAAAATACATCCTGACATGACTCTCTTAGGAAAAAAAAAATCATAATGTGTCACACAAGTATGGGAAAAACCCTACTTTTAATAATATGGATATGATATAATACAAATAATTAAATTTAGGTGATAAAAATAAAAAGAAATTAAGGTAATGTTTGGTTTAGTTTTTAAAACATGATTTGGATAAAAAAATAAAAAAGTTTGTTTGGATAACAACCTTTTGAAGGACAACTAAAAACTCAATTTTCACTTTCTTCTCCCATTCTCTTTTATTATTATTATTAATAAATCAATAATTTTCTCTATCTCCTCTCTCCTCTCTCAAATTCTAAACAACAATCAATGAATTTTTTTTTTCATAGTCATTTATTTAATTAAAAAATATAAATATAAATCATTTCAAAATTATTTTCAAAATTTATAACCAAACAAACTTTTGTGTGTTTGGTAACGTTTATGTTTTCAGTTTATATTTACAAAAATTTTATAAACTGATTTTTGTTTATTTTTAAAAAAACATAAACTACAAACGCATTTGGTAATTGACAAAATGTTTAAAAAATTTAAAAAATATAAAAAAGAATGCGAAATGACAAGTGGTGGCAAGTGGCGGCGAAAAACGGTGGTGAAAAGTGGTGACGGTAGGTGGTGGTGGTAGGTGGTGGCGGGTAGGTGGTGGTGGTAGGTGGGTGGGTGACGATGGC